CTTAGTTGAAACGCTTCCTCCGCCGGTCAGTCTTGACTGTGCTTTGGCTCTCGGCGGTCCTTCTGTCGTTTCTCTGTCTGGGTCTGATTCTCCTGCTGGCCAGGTTCTGGTTGATGCACCTGTTGGCAGTGTTTCTCGTGAAGACCCTCTGCCTTATGATACCGAGGGTGAGGATCCGTCGACTAGGTTAGTCCAGTGTAGGACACGCGCGACTTCTAAACGGCGGCTTTCCTGGTTGGACTCGCCGCAGGTGGAGTCTGCCGAGGCTGGCTCCTCGGGGCATCGTCGTTTGAAGAGACGGAACGTGGACTTCCTTATGGGGGAAGACACGATAGTTGTGGATATCCCCGATGATGACACTCCGAAACAGTCGGAGGGGATGAAGGAAGGGGCGACATAACTGTCCCGTGAACCCAAGGAAGAACCGGTGGATATTGCTGCCGAAAACATTTTTGGTGTGGACCAGGAAGCCGGTCATGAAGGTGCTCCCAACTCGCCAGTTCTGCTGTTGGCTGGGGGAGACCTTGCTGAGGGCTCTGTTCTTGTTCCTCCGGCTGCGCAGGCCGTGTACGTGCCCGGGTGGGGGATAACTCGGGAGTCTCACCTTTCCCAGCACACGGTGGCATACGATTGGGGTCGTCATGCTTTTTCCCCGCCGCCATCGAGGCCTTGGAGCTTCTCTAGAATGCTCATCTTTCTAATATCCTCTTATATGCGGCTTCCCAGGTTGGTTCATATATGGTTGCGACTGCATCTCGCCTTCATCAAGGCGATTCCAGTTCTGGCGAGCTCGTTCAGATCAGGGTTGAGCGGGATGATTTGAGGGCCAAGTTGCTGGCATTAGAAGAGCAGAAGCGTTCATTCGAGGAGCGCTATAATCTCCTGGCGGGGGAGAAGGCGTCTCTGTAGGTTAAGTTCGTTGCTTTAGACGGGTCAGTGGAGCGTTTCTCCCAGCATATCGAGGTGTTGGTGGAAGAGAATAAGGCATTTGAGGACCAAGTGGATCACGCTAACAAGCAGTTAGGGGAAGAGGTGGTGAAGAGGAAGAGCGTGGAGGATGATGTGACATCCCCAAATTCACGGTCATTTTTAAAAATTTTATTTATGCTTATTTGAAAATCAGAGTATTCATTTTAAAGAATAATATTGCAGAATTTACTCCCAGAAAATATGATAAATACTTTATCAAAGCATTTCCGAAGAAATGTATTTTGTTTATATTAAAAATTTGGGATGTCATCGTCAATACAGAAACATAAGCATAAACAGACATTACATTCATTTACACTAGTGATTTACATCTCATTTAATCTTTCAGTGTAATGTGTCCTCGTATCGATACCTGTGATACAAATAAACTGAGTGGACCAGGTCGGGAAACCTGATGAGTACATAGGTATTTCAATCCCACAATGTTATATCATATATATATATATATATATATATATATATATATATTATATATATATATATATATATATATATATTATATATATATATATATATATATATATATATATATATATATGTGTGTGTGTGTGTGTGTGTGTGTTTTAGAACTCACAATATATACAATTTCACCTCATATAAGAAATTTTACCCCACCTCGTCGATCCTCACGACGACACGATCTATACTCTCGGATCTAAAATTAACCTCTTTAACTAATCCATACTCCCGAATCAGGTATGTCTAATCCATGCTCTCAGATCAATAACTATGCCCATTCCATACTCTCGGACCAGGGACAATTGACAATGTCTAATCCATGCTCCCGGATTAATGATAAATAACTATGTCATCTCCATACTCTCAGACTAAGGACAAATGTCTATGTCTAATCCATGCTCTCGGATCAATGACAAATCTTAAAGTTCGACCCTCCGTGTATATCTCACCCACACTCATAAGGAGATACTACCCGATATCCATCTCAATTAATTTAGGTTAGTTTTGTATACTAAATCGTCATATATTATCATATATGATCTTAACACGTATTTCAGGAAATAACAAATATTTCACACACAAACATATATTTAATACTTTAATCAATACTTGTATTAAAATCATGTTCATGAAAGGGACTATGCACTCACTTGTTAAAGTGATAATTCCAAACTCGGGCAACGCTTCGCTTCTAACAATTCTATTTTCCTTCGGCGAAACCTAGTATCATTACCACTAAATTTTAGTCTAATATTTATAGAGACTATTTACGAGCGACATTGTTTTATAAGTGTTAAATAATACTTTTCAACCACTATGTACAGACAGGGGCCATACATGAAACACCGGAGGGCATGACCATTTTGGCATTTAAGCACTTCTGAAATCCAACAACCCTATGTGGCCCTTCAAACCATATTCCTTGTACCGCGAGTAGTTAAAGATATTATAATAACACTTTGTATATTATATTTTATAATACATATATTGTTTATAGGTTCATAATAACGATATTGAACTTAAACATAAGCTATACTTAAAGTAGGGTAAGAATAACTTAATTATAAGAGGGTTTGGCTAGGAATCGGGCTTTGCGGGGGCAGAACTTCCGAGCCAAAAGCTCTTCTTCTCGGAGCCTTGTGGCGCTCCGGGACTCGCCTGTTAGCGCTTGGGAAGTACTAGGGATTGGGAGGGGTTTAGAGAGATGTTTGAGAGAGAAAGAAAGCTTGTGGTGTGAAGAAATGGGAGAAACCTCGCATCTATTTATAGCCCACAACTTCGAACTACGTTGGGCGTACTCCTTGGGGTTCTCTGCGTGTATGAGGATACGTTGCGCGTACGAGGGGGTAGTTGTCAGTCATCCGAAGCGAGGCCATGGGGAGGAAGCAAGGGCCGAGATTAAGCCATGTCACCCTCTTCGCATCAGCATAATCCTGACTTCTAAATTCCGTAACTTTCGCATACGAGCTCTGTTTTTGACGTTCTTTATATCCTCGTGTAGGTGGCAACGTAATCTACAACTTTCGTTTAGGCTACGTCGGCTAATTTTGACTTTATTTTTAAAGTTATATTTTAACAGGCGTGGACAGGTAAAGTCCGTTAAAAATTCATAGCTTTGTCATCCGACGTCCGTTTTCATCTGTCTTTATACCGTTGAGTTCTTATTAACGAGATCTTCTATTCTCGTTTAGATTGTGTCGACTAAAAATTGGTCGATCTAAAATTCGAATTCCGGGCTGTGCACTGCTATGCTAAATCTTAGAAAATCATAACTTCCTCATACGAAGTCAGATTTGGACGTTCTTTTTATGCACGCTCTCGGTTTAACATATACTACGACCTTCATTTACATCGCTAAGACTAAAAAGTATTTTATCACAAACTCACTATTTACCATTCCAGGTGTCGTGCCGGTTTTGCCGTAAAACTTCGACAGGTCATAACTTCTTCGTTATAACTCGGATTTCAGCGTTCTTTATATGTACGAAACCCTTGTGATATATACTATAACTTAGTTATGATTATTTATTCTAAATAATCTTCTATCAAAAGTCATTTTTGACGCTTATTGTCTCTAAAGTGACTAGCCCGAATCTGCGGGCGTTACAGATTATCTGGGGTAGCTGCTTCAGAAAGGAATTGTCTGTGTGGTGGAAAAGGTGGTTGAAAGTTTTGAGTTTGTGATGGGAGTGAAGTGGATGAAGATGGCGTGTCGCTGGTGTGGAGAATGGCAAACAGGAGGTCCGAGAACAGGTCATTGTTGGGAAGTTTGTCCATGGGGAGGCAGTTGTTACCACGGAGCATATTCATGTGATGCACGCTGCTGTGAAAGCGTTTATGGAGACAGACTTTGCCTCCTACCTCCGCCTGGGCGAGCTCGGCATGGCAGGCCTTCGACAGTTGTGTGATGACTCTAACGCTGAGGATAGTCAGGTCGAAGGTGGCTCTTCTCATGCTTGTGCTTCCCCTGTAAAGTGATGGCTTTTATTTCCTATTTGAATATTTCAAAACAATGTTTATGTTTGTTTGGTACTTAAACAATGTTTCACTGGTTTTTTTTGGCCCTGCGTGGTCTTTGTGCAAATCCCGAGGGGTTGTACGGGTAGACAATTTATCTTGTGTATGTTAAATTCCCATTCTATTGTTTTGTTACACTATTGTTTCATTTTGTCCTTGTGTTTGATGGTTTATGTTGGCCATATTTGGCTTGAATTCTTCTTAGAGGCTAGTGTCGCCCTTTTGGGGGTGGTTGTTATTTGTTTTGATGAGTTTTGGTGATCCAGAGCATCTGAGCCTGTTATTTATCCTTTGGCCTAACCTCGTAGTGTGAGGCTTTGGCTGGCTTTTAGGTACGGGCCCTAAATGGCCTGCTTCATTGGAACGTCCCTTTTTTAACTAAGGGACTTTGTTTTGGGGCCTTTTTCTATGCCCCGGGCCAAGGAGAGTTGCACTCTGGCCCTTGTTATCTGAACCAAACTGACATCGTCACCTCAAAGTCTGGGAGTTTATATGTTTTGAGGGAAAGGATATGATCCTTTAAAGCCTCTTGTTTGTCATGGTCTGGAGTTGCGGCTCTGCTGACTTTGTTGACATGTTTGTTAAGGGGAAATTATGAGCCCTTAAGGCTTACAATTGTGTTTTCCTCCATGATTTTATTGTTATGCGGCACGGGTGATTAGCCCATTTTTTTTTGCCGTTTGTACGAAAGTATATTGATATTTGTTCATTCTAAATTTTCATTGCATATATATTTTGTTTTATGTCTTAGAGACACTTACATCATTTAGGTAGGTATCGGAGGTTCGATAGTTGATGTTATTCTACTTCTAGGTCTTGTACTGGCTAGTTGGGGTGTGATTATCCAATGGGAGTTTGATCGCATAGCCCCTTCTCCTGATACCTACCAAGCTAGGACAATTGGATTGGACCAGGTGCCGTCCTGGGGGAATCTTTTGTCAATTGCAGGCTTTTGCCGTTGCTGGCAGCCTCCTGTCTGTATCTTCTTTTGCAGGGTGGTTCCCTGTCTTCCTCCCCCCAGCTTTTGCGATCTCTTAGTTTTGTTTGCTGTCAGGCTTCTTCTTCGTACTTTGTGTCTTCACTTCGCGAAGGCGCATGGGTATGCTTAGTGGTATCCAACCCTTCTTGGTGTTCATACTAACAACATGCAATCTGTCTAGCTTGGTAATGTTGTGGCTACCGTGCCCTTCCCCTTCTGGGCTACATGCCCGGGGCTTGCACTTTTTCTTCTTATTGGGGATGTGGGTGTCTTTCTCCTCGTCTTTGACCCTTTTGGATGTGAGTATCATGGTTCGTCTTCTTTTTAGGATGCACGCGATGGCCCACACGATGATTTCCCGGATTGGCTTTGCTCGTGTGTTAATGGTTGTGACCATTGCTGAACATTTGGTTGTTCTGAACTTGATTGTGCCATGTATTGTCGATGGGATAGCCTGTAATTGAAAAAGAGTCGGGCGCCCAAGGATTATATCGTTATCGGACCTTTGCTTGACTACTGAGAACTCAATTATCCTCGTTACTTGTTCCTTCCCATCGATGTTGGTTATAGTCAATGGTAGGTTTATGGTGTCGAGTGGCCACAACTTGTGTCCCGTGAAGCCAACGAGTGGTGCCTGGGCTGGGTGTTTCGGGTTCCTTCTCCAGCATGGCGGGAGTTGCTTGAAATAGTGTTCATAAAGGATATCAGTGCTACTACCTCCAGCGACTAAGGCTCGCCAGGTCTTCTGCTGTATGATCGTGGCGGGGATTACGATTGGATCTATTGGGTCCCAGTCTGGCACTCGCGGGTCTAATGGCGATAAACTGATGTTTAGAGTGCCTCCGGGTGGGATGGCATCGCCTTTGGCCGGCCGTTGGTACTTGTCTTGATCCTTGGGTCTCGCTATTGTGAAAATCTCCTCTTTTTTGATTGGTTGTTTGCTTGCTTCCTTGCGTGTTCTCCCATCTTTTTGGTCAGCTTCGAACTCTCACCGCAGGGTCCTTGCTATTTTTGTTAGGTCTCCTTTCAATTGCTTGTCCGCTACTTCTCTTTTGAGTATCGCACATTCTCCGGTGTTGTGTGTTTTGCTTTTGTTGTATTCGTAGTATTTGCTTTTTCCTTCTCCGTCCACTATGGGGTTTTTTCTACGGCGTGTAATTCTGACCTGTGGCTCCTCGGATTGCCTTTGACAAACGGGCAGAATCTGCAGGAGGAATGTCTCGAATGTCTGTTCTGTTTGTCGTGGTTTCCATCGTTGTGTTCTTTATAGTTGTGGTGGGAGTAGGAGCCGGATAATTCTTGTCTGAGGTAGGCGTTCGCTACAGCCTTTAAATTTGCTTGTTTGCGTTCTTCTCCTCCGATCTGTCGGAAGTATTTTTCGACCCTGTATTTAAGCTCATCTCTGGATTTCGGTACTGTGCCTTGCATTTTTCTTGACAGGGGGTCTGGGAGTAGCCCCTGGATGAAGGCGCCTGTGACTAAGAATTCTTCATGGCCTGAGACACTTAAAGTTGCTAAGGTGAACCGGTCATAATATGATCGGATGGATTCTCCCTCATTTTGCTTGCATGCCATGATCGAGTTGACATCTCCTTTGACTTTTCTCGATTGCATGAAATTGAGGAGGAGTAGATGTCTCAATTGTTCAAAGCTGGAGATGTTTCCCGGTCGTAACTCCTTGAACCACTTGATGGCGTTTCCTGATAGTGTGACTGGGAAGTAAGTGCAGGTGAACCTCTTGTCCATTCGGAGCGATGTCATCGTCCATTCATAAGTGTATATGTGTTCGTTGGGATCTGTCGTGCCGTTATATTTTGGGATATTTGGGATCATGGCGAAATGTGGTGTTTCTTACTGCAAGAGCTCCTGGCAAAATGCCGAACTGATGCTTGATACTGAGTCGTGCATGTGTGGATATGCAGGTGCTCCACTGGCCATTACGTGTTACATGTGATAGGGGCTGTTGTACGCTTCACCATATTCGTAATCGCACCCGTGGTTGTATCTCGGCGTTTGTGGCACATACACTGCCTGTGTGGGGTATGCATGCACCAACTGATTTGACTTTGAGTTCGACTCTGTTGGTCCCATGGTGTGTGAGTGTGTCCCTTGCACCGGTGTGCCTTGACTGTTGTTGTTTTGCGGATGTGTTGGGGTGGGGGGGGGTACATGCCTTGGTAGTAGTAGGAGTATGGGTTGAACACTAGTTGTTGTGCGAATAGCGGGACGCGCGACATGGCGGCCATCAGGGAAGACAGGTGACATGCAAGCATTGGTTGTATAGCGAATGTGATGGTGCTCGGGCACCAAGTGTTGGTCCCTGCCTGGTGCATGGATGGATGCTGGTGAGTTGTTAGTTGTGATTGTGTTGTCGGTGCTCTTTGGGGCGTCATGGTGGTCGTCGTGGCTGAATGTGCCGTTGTGGAGGGTGTCAGTCGCTATAAACTAGTGATGAACTCCGCCATGGAGTCGACTGGCGGCGTTGTCGGTGTTTGTGCTAGCGGTTGTCCTTCCATTTTCGACGAACCGCTTCCTTCGAGGGACTGCATTAGTCTAACTGGGCTAGTGGTGTCATCTTCTTGCCACTGTGGTCCTTTGTCCGTCATTTCTGACACCTGGTGTTGTTGAATGGGTTTTGCAGGACTGAGTGCAAGCTCGGATGGCGCCAACTGTTGTGATATGTCACCGGCTTGACTCCGTCTTTCTGAGGGCAGGAATAAAGATCCTGTGGATCACAACAAAGAAGATGAAACCACCAGTCGTCGTCCAGGAGGTTGTCCCGTAACGAGGCTCCGACGATCAAGTCAGTGTGGGTCTGAGAGAGAGGGTTAAAAGCGTAAAGAGAGTGTTGAAGGGTTCTTAATCTTGACCCCTTCTCTTGGGGGAGAAGGGTGCCTTTTATACATGTGGCTAGGGGGAACAGATCCCCGACAATATCTTCTAGCTTTTCAGGTTTGGCAAGGGTTGATGGCTTTTGATTGGAGGATCGTGTTCCATGGGTGGTTGTTCGCTATTGGTGCAGATTTTACCAGAAGCGGCGTCCAGAGCACTACACCTGTCGCTCTGGGGAACTCTTGTTAATGTTTTGTCTTCAATGTTAGCCTTGGCGCATGGGCACCAAGGAACGGATACGGGGTCTCTAGGGCGAGGGCGAAGGCCCGAAGTTAGTCATGCGTTGCTCCTTGACCGATCCGTATGTCGAACTAGCGGTTCCGTTATCTTTGACAGATTCCCGGTGGGATACGTCAACAGGTACATAACAACAATTGTTCAAAACATGATTAAGACCATTTGGAAGCAAACGATGATATTTTCATATGGATTTGATAGCTACTCGAGTGTCATTGCCCACATCGAGTTCCAAATCGTCATCCTTAAGTTTTCTAACATTCTTTATGTAACACCTCAAATTTCAAACCAAAATTTTCATTTTTAATTTACCCAAAATATTGTTCATAAACCAAGCCATTAGAAAATCACAAGTATCAAGTACAAATCATCACTACAAATATCAGAGTGCCACGTAATGCCCAGTAATAAAATATCCCAGTTAGTGTGTACAATCAGACCTTCGCTTTCCCATGATCCTAGGAAGTACCTGAAGCACATATAATCAACAATTGTAAGCACAAAGCTTAGTGAGTTCCCCAAGATATCTCATACAGCACAACACATAAACAGTTATGTGTTATCGGCAACCTGGAGACTACACAAAGTCTCAGTGGGCAAACAGCACGCCCTGTGGGTTATCAGCAACCCTGGAGACTACCCGAGGTCTCAGTCACACATAAACAACATAACACAATAATAACAGCTAGACCCAGTTGGTCATCACAGATACAACTATTCAACCACATAGGTAAGAATAAGTGAGGAGACTCACCTGATGCTGATGACAGATAAATCTCACACCCGAACTGTAGGAACTAGACTCCGCCTAAAAAGAACACAACAAGTAACTTTAGTCACTTAGGGTTATAACTCGACTCCTTGGTTCAATCCCACAACTACGCCCCTGAAGGGAAAAAAAGACCATTTTGCCCTTTCCATGGTCCAAAACCCTAAATCTTTGACCAAAAGTCAAAGTCAGCAAAAGTCAACCATCCAGAGCGTACATTGGGCATATGCTCCCTACGCCCCGCGTAATCGAAGAACAAGGTGAGTCGGGGTCAGGCCTGGCTAAGTTGAGCGTAGCCATAAGTACGCTGAGTGTACGCTGTCTGATCCCAAAAGTCACTCCACAACGTCTTAATCATTAAGACATGCAACCCAAACATAGATATAACCTCCTTAGAATGTCTTAATCCATATGGTCCATAGATTTAAGCCTTTGCATGGCTGACATAAGCTTAAACCTCAAAACCCTAACTTAAACTATACTCATAACCACCACACCCTTGCATGGAAAGAAAGGGACCTTCAAGCAAGCATTTTTATGATTCTATATGACCTAAAACACATGAAAGGACAACTAATATGCTCTGGAGTGCACCATACTCACAAAGATCCAAAATTTAGGATAAAAAGCTCATAAAAGCCCATCTAAAGAGATCTAGAAAGAACATCAGCAAGGTATGGACTTTATACCTTTAAAAGATGCACAAAGTGAGGTAGTTTCTGGATCCACAAGTTTGCAAGCAACACCACCTTCTTCAATAGCCTTCTTCTTCAACAAGAAAGCACCAAAATCACTAAAAAGCTTCAAAATCTTCACACACAAAAATGAGACTCGAGATTAGGGTTTGGAAGGAATGGAAGTTGTCTCTAGAAGGTCCAAGGAAGGTATAATGTTGATTAAATAGGGAGCAAACCCATAAATTTAGGGTTTAGGGTCTGAGCTAGTACGCGCAACGTAATAGCATGAGTCCCGCGTTTCCAAGGCTTGATCATGTACGCTGCACGTTCCTCACGTACGCCCAGCGTACATGCTGAAATGCAAAGATTTTTCACTCAATGGACCAATAATGAAAAATACCTGAAAATCGGATGTGACACTTTAGTCCCTGATAGGGATGGAAATGGAGCGGGTTTGGGGCGGGGTTGACCATCCCTGTCCCCATCCCCAAGTGTCTAACCTCGTCCCCATCCCCTTCCCAGTCCTCGAGAGATGTGGGGAATCAAATCCCCTCCCCTTTGTATTTTGGGCTTTTCCCCAGCCCATCCCCAACCCATACCCAATCTATCAACATATTAAACTCAACTTACACAAAAAAAACCAAGTTTAATAAGTGATCAAAACCATATGCCATAAACAGATTTTTTTTACATCAATCATAAAGTTTAACAAGCATCAAAACAAAAAGTGTCGATTTGGTATACAGATCGACGAACAAAGTGACGATTGATGAACTCTTGGAATTGGGAACATAATTTGGTATATGGACTCTATCTCTAATG